TTTGTTCTCAATTACAGAGGAAAAATTGTGAAAGAAGAAAATGCAATAAAAATCAATTATTGTATTTATGTACTTCGGAAATGGCTTTTTTCATTTATGAAAGCTCTAAAAAATTGTAAAAAATCGTATCAACAATAATTTATTTATTTTGAAAGTTAAAAATTAGTGATAAGTAAATAAATGCTCTCAATTTTTGGAAAAAAACATTTACCACAAAAATATATTTTTTAAAATAATTTGTTTATTTAATGTTAAATAAAACCACATGAATGAATCCACAATAAATGAAAATATACATTAAAAATAAGTTACGAACTGTAAGATAAAATGAAGTAATCGGGATTTCAATATCTGGCTGGCTCATAGCAGAGTGGGTAAAGGGCTTGTCCAGTGTGCAATGGGACGGGGATTCATATTTCTTTGAAAACTGTTTTTTTTTTTTTTTTTTTGTAGAAATTGGTAAACAGAAAAAAAATAGTAAAATTCAGAATATGTGGTGTGGTGCGGTGGGATTATATTGTGTAGTGTGGTGCGATGATGATGTTGGATGTTGGATAGTGTAGGGGTACCGGAAGTACGTCAAGAGGGGCAGGATGAAGGGGGAGAATCAAGCAAAATTTACGTCTCTTACACTTTTTCTCAAGGTCACCAATCTGAAATCGTTGATTTACTCCGTAGGGTAGAACGCGCCTATAGAAGTATAACTTCAAAAAGTAGGTGCACTTCATAGCATTACTGTGAGAAATCTCTCCCTTAAGATAGTTGTATACTTGGCAGCCCAGCAGTACGTCGTGTCTTGGCTTTACTTTGATTTTTCTTATCCACACAATAGATTGCTTTGAGTTCTTGATTGATTGAATAATAAAATATTTATCAGATTTGTTCGATTCAGATGCTCCGAGCGTTTTGAGCGACCCCAGAACCATTGAGGCATACATCTATATTTATAGTCTTGGCTATAAAAACAGATATAAACCTAAATGACTCTTGGACTGCTCGGATCACTTGGAGAACCTGAATCGAACAAATCTAATAAAACCTTACCAAATTACTGAGTATAGTAGCTGCAAGAGTTCCTATAGTAAATGCATTTTAAAAAATGCGCTGTCGTGTGATACTTGATGATTCCAACCAATTAGACTAACATTTTTGGAATAGGTATTAACTGGTCACCAGAACCTACTTAATCACTAGTTTGAAAGTAGAACAAGCACTTATTTATGCACAATTTAATTAAGAAGTAATATAAGGTGCTTTCTTAGTAAGCCTAAAACTTGAATCTTTTAAAATAATTTTTACTTTGTTACAGTTAGCTACTGTATCACTTCTTTAATAGTACCTGTACATGTTTTATCACTAGCAGAATCTTATGCATTATCAGTCCTTCACTGAACCCTAAAGCTATTTAAATTAGGTGTGTATCTATAAAAAAATTACCAGCGTGGTTTAGTGTAAGAAAGAGTCCTTTTATCTGAAAAATAACGTAAAAATTAACAAAACGTTTTGAAATTTACATATATAAGAAAGGTCTCTATGTATAAAAGGAGAAACAATATACAACATGATATGAAATAAAAAATGTTAAGGTAAAAAGATAAATAAGTATAACTTAACATGCATGAAAAGCAGCCTTGCACTTTTACGAAAGCATTATGCTACAACACGGAGATTTTGAATAACGTGACCGATAAATATATATGTTACGAGAAAATTTTGTACTTCCAAAATATAAAATAATTTAGAACAAATTTCAATTAAAAATTCTAGAGCTAATACAAATCATTTTATATTTGGCATTGTGTAATTAGAAATGATTTACATTAATTT